GGAACTCACTGGGTTCGGCTAGTATAAGGTCCAGAGTTGCTGTCTATATAGTGAGCTCACTGGGTTCGGCTAGTATAAGGTCCAGAGTGCTGTCTATATAGTGAGCTCACTGGGTTTGGCTAGTATAAGGTCCAGAGTGCTGTCTATATAGTGAGCTCACTGGGTTTGGCTAGTATAAGGTCCAGAGTGCTGTCTATATAGTGAGCTCACTGGGTTCGGCTAGTATAAGGTCCAGAGTGCTGTCTATATAGTGAGCTCACTGGGTTTGGCTAGTATAAGGTCCAGAGTGCTGTCTATATAGTGAGCTCACTGGGTTTGGCTAGTATAAGGTCCAGAGTGCTGTCTATATAGTGAGCTCACTGGGTTCGGCTAGTATAAGGTCCAGAGTGCTGTCTATATAGTGAGCTCACTGGGTTTGGCTAGTATAAGGTCCAGAGTGCTGTCTATATAGTGAGCTCACTGGGTTCGGCTAGTATAAGGTCCAGAGTGCTGTCTATATAGTGAGCTCACTGGGTTCGGCTAGTATAAGGTCCAGAGTGCTGTCTATATAGTGAGCTCACTGGGTTTGGCTAGTATAAGGTCCAGAGTGCTGTCTATATAGTGAGCTCACTGGGTTCGGCTAGTATAAGGTCCAGAGTGCTGTCTATATAGTGAGCTCACTGGGTTCGGCTAGTATAAGGTCCAGAGTGCTGTCTATATAGTAAGTTCACTGGGTTTTGCGACACAATCTTGCCGCTGGTTCCTGCGACAAACCTGCACCTGCCCCTCCATTAAGCCAATTATAAACCGATCGCAGACACACACCTGACAGCGGCTCACATTAGACAGACACCATTATAAATATCACTAAACAACTCTTTATATAACTAATAAAGCCAGTCACCTCAGAACAGGCGCGCGCCAGACGCTTTCATGATGTTTAAACGCGAACCCGCGCTAACAGTCGCATTATTATTATTATACAGTTCTGATCAACAAGAACGATAAATTTCACTCATTTACCTCAGGACTGCTGTCACGGGTCCACCGAAGCCGGTGTTCGGGTAAAATCCGGTGTGTTTATCGCCCCGGTTTCAGGAGGATCATCAAATCAGCACGTTTGACTGAGCGACGGGCGTAAGCGCGCTCACGAGAGCACCGGTCCTGCGTCATGACGTACATGCGTAGGATGCGCTGCAGGGAAATGTAGTTCTCCGCGTACTATTTACATCACGAAGAAAACTACAATTACACTTTCTTTCTTTTTTTACATCCCCAAATTAGAAATTGCTTACAAATAAAGCTGACGCACAATTACACAAATCTTGCATTTTATTTAATTTCACATGAGGATTCGTTGAGTACACGCACCAAAAAAAGAATGCCTTTAGAAAACAAACATGACATTGTTCAGTAAAAAAAAAAGAATTATATATATATAGTGTAAAAGTTCATGGTTCCGATCACAGCACGGGTCGCGGCTGTTGCGTCAGCAGAAGCCCGAAGCGCTTCTTGATGGTCACGCGGTGTCGGGAGAACTTGTCGTCCGGTGAGAAGCGGGCCGGGTGCGCGGAGCTGGTGGGCTGGGCGCTCGGGTCCAGTTTCTGCACAGGAATAACATAATATATTCAAAACATGCATCAAGTTTCCATACATCTGATCTATATTACATGTATACACGTTTTATGGCCAAATATGCCGCCATTACAGCAACATTAAAGCCGCCTCACCTTCAGAGTGTAAACCCTGTCGCCTTTCTCGTTCAGATAAAACTGCAGGAACATGATGAGCTCTCGACAGTCGCACAGCGAGTTACAACGTCTGTCGGTTTATTTCGAAAATATCCGAGCAGAAACCAGGTTTATAATCGGCAGAGCTGCTCAAAACACCGCGTGCACGTGTGCGACTGATCCCGGAACAAACCGGATGTGTGCGAGACGAGCCGCGGCGCAAAGCAGGATGGGAAATTGAGTTTTTAAAAGGTCACATGTGTAAAGAAAACCTCCCGCCTGCTGTAGAATATAACGGCAGACATAACAAAAATAATTATTAATGTAAATAAATGTGACTTAATCGTGTTACATGCGATTTTATAGTTTGGAACACAGACATGCTGATTTGTGTTTGTTTTTAAAAGTGTGCAGTTTAAATCTGCATTTCAGCGGTGAGCAACTGCTCAGATTAACCAGTTATTTACCCTTCAGAGTCCTTGAATATCGTCTTCGAGATAATCAGATCCTCTGAGGCTACTTCAGTGTCAGGTAAAGTTGGTCAATTCTTGATGTAATTTATGTATTGTGCCAATTGTTTTGTTGTTGTTTTGGGGTAGATTAATCTCTAACACTTGCAATATCACAACATTAACTGATATAAAATTAGCTACGGCATTTTTCTTATTATGTACAATCCCCTGTGTGTAGATGGAGAAGCTTCAACCACCAATCATGCATCTAGAGACGCATCTAATGGAGCACGCACTTCTCCTTAACGAGGATAACGAGCTGCTTAATTACGGAGAAGTCACGTGTGTAAACGCACAGGAGAGGATTCAGACTGAAACACACTGTTCTGATGCTGGAAACACGTTTCTTGGGCCAGAAACACTTGCTTCGATGCGATGCGCGTGTTCGCTTCATTGTGACGGCCCACACACCGCCAGCAGAGGTCCTGCAAGTGGGATTACCCGAGATATAAACATCAAACCTCTATTCTCAGACATGAACCCTGTCCACACTCCTCATGCTAACCCGTGGCCCGCTCCTGCTCCTCGCTTCAACCCTGCAGTGCCTCATCAGAATCAGTTCTGGCCCATTTACACGCCTCCACAGCACTTTAACCCTGCGTTTAACTTTAACCCTGCATTTAACTTTAACCCTGGGTTTAACTTTAACCCTGCGTTTAACTTTAACCCTGGGTTTAACTTTAACCCTGGGTTTAACCCATTAGTGGCCTGTGGGGATTCTGCCTTCTCCTGTCTGGTGCTTCGACCGCATATGAGCGTTTGTCCCGCACCGTATCCGCATCTAAACACCACGGGTTCGGTCTCCTACACACACTCACACTCACACACACACTCGTTCCCTGCAGACGTGCTCGACTCATACGAACTGTGGCAGAGACTGTGTGAGACGGCGAAGGACTTCAGCTCCAGCAGTCCAGATACTGAGGCTCTCGCCTGCTTCTTCATGTGAGAACACACACACACACACACACACACACACTCTCTCTCACACACACACTCCCCATCATATCACACTCATTCTGCAGATCATGTGTTTTCATCTGCACATCATTATAATGTTCTATAATTCAATGACAATTATATAATTAAACATTTATCATGTATAATAACATTATAACATGTTATTGAAACAGGAACTCATTGTGATATATGCTTATGTCATATCAATAATAAAGGCCCGTTCACACCAAGAATGATAACTATAACCATTAAGTTTTGAAAATTGCTAAAGACAGTACAACTATAGCGATAATGGTGCGGTCAAGTACAATTAAATTGAATATTTTTTTTATTTAAATCATTTGTATAATTTCTTCATTGTTATGCATTAGTATTTTATTTATAGCAAATGTATTTATTATTTTAGTTTTCATTTGTTTAATTTTTATCATTATAATTAATACTTTTTCATTCTATTAACTGACTTTATTTTTTTTATTGTTTACTATTTATTATCGTTGACAGATTTCTATTTGTTTGTTTATAATTTAACTTGTATATTAATATTTTTTTCAATTACCTTTATTTATTCATTGTTGTGTTATTATTTTATAATAAAAGTGTATACATTTGATATGAAAGTAGGCTATATGTAAATATGTTTTTAGGATATTTTTTTTTTTTTACTTCATATTGCATAATTAATTCATTAGTTGTTTGTTTGGGGATTTTTTTTTAAATATGTGTTTACTATTAATTCATTATTTGTCATTATCATTCGCCACATTGACAGATAAACGATATTGAATCATTTTCAGAGCGATTTTTTTACCAGCAACACTGAAAGCCAATCAGAATTATTCATACTTAGTTTGAATCTCGCGCGCGCGCTTAAAATAAACGGAACGTTATGACGATGACGTCTGTTGTTGTGTGGATGACGCTAGTTATCATTACAGTTATGTTAATTGTGTGAACGGGTCTTTAAGGCTTTTTATTTGACCTGTTTTGTTTATCTGCGTGTCTCTCTCTCTCTCAGTCGCGTGATTCGCTCTCTCGCCGTTCACAGTCCCGATCTGCCGTTCTCGGATGCCGTTAACACGGCCGTTGAGGAGTGGAGGAAAATCCCGCTCTTTCAACGAGAGCAATATCACGTCACTGCCAGAATGTAAGCTATATAAAAAAAATAACGCATTTCTGACACTGACATGCTTGAGGAGTGTTAATAATTAACATTTATAAAATTAATTGGTAACACTTTACAATAAGGTTCATTAGTTAACATTAGTTAATGTTAACATGATAAGCAATTCATTTGTTGCAGTATTTGTTCATCTTTGTTAGTTCTACAGTGCATTAACGAATGTTAACAAGATTTTAATAAAGTATTAGTAAATGTTGAAATTAACAAAGATTAATAAATTCTGTATACGTGTAATTCATGTTAACTAATGTTAACTAACGAACCTTATTGTAAAGTGTTACCAATTCATTTAATTATACAATCATAGTGTATTATTTTGATGCTATTTGGAGTCATTTTTAACCCCTTAGTTGCAGAAATGGTGGATAAAGAGCAAATCTTACAATAAGATTTACCGTCTTTAAGAGGTTTTGTCGGGAATTGAAGTTTTTTGTAATGCTCCTCTAGGTTCATTAAGTTGGAAGAACAGAACAAGAGCACCAACAGAGCCGATGAAGATCAGTCGAGTCCCACAGGTCAGGATTTATTATAATGGCTCACAGTTAATGTTTTATTTACTGATTGATAAAACATTCTCAGCTAAACTTCATCTATGACTGAATTAAATAGTAAACAATGAACACTTGCGCAGGTAATGTGAAGAAAACAAGGAAACGATCTAAAAAGGCGCGGCCGGTTGAAGATCTCGCCGAGAGCGCGCTGGTAGAATACTCACAGGTCATGGACGCTCTGGGGTCAAAGGTCAGCGATGGGTCAGAGGTCACCGCCGCCGACGAGGAGGACGTGTGTGCGCTGTACTTCAACCAGCTGTTCAACCACTGCGAATTTACCAACGAGGTCAATTAAAATCCTATGAATCACATTCTAAAGCCTCTCTAAATGATCAAAAAAATTATCTAAATCTATTGTGGAAAATGATCTATTAGGGTTAAAGAGCCGGCGTTCTCATATTAAAGTGTGTTTTCTCTCTTTCAGGCTGGTTTCGACATGGACTACATCAGCTCTCTTCTCTCCACAGATCACAACCTCACCGATGTCCTGAAGGAAAATTCCCAGGATTTGTTTTCCTGCGGCATTCCCAAGCCAGTCGCCGGATGCTCCTATTGGACTCCACAACGTGACTTCGGCCAGTATAACGGCTCAAATGTTCAAGATCACATGATGACGCAGAAATCATTTCGGATAAACACACCAACTGGGATGGAAAATGGCGGCCAGAACGCATTTCAAACATTAAGTTCCCAAGGCGTCCAAGTCCAAGAAATGATTTATTCTGCTTTCCAAGACTTTGGTCCACCTGGAAACTCTTCAGGAGGAAAAATCGAGACTTTGTACGTCGCTGAACGTGAAACCACCGTCCAATCCGAGTGCTTCAGTCTTCAAAACTACAAATCCCATCATGCATCATTTACGCATTCCATAAAACATCCAAAAACCCCTGAGAATGGTGTAGTTGAGCATGATAGAGAGGAAAACACAGTGGCCAGACAAAAAACAGAGAAAATGGGAAGTACAAAGGAAAAGAGAAACATGGATCCGGACATTCCCAACGATTCTCAGCAGGGAATGAGAAATAATAGAGCGAAAACACAGACAAGCGTAAAGGAGACGCCCGAGGAAAAGAACGGAAACCGGAACAAAAAACAGAAGAGGCGACGTAGAAGACGGAAGCAGGAAAAGATCACGGCGCTCGATGAGAGAACAACAGACGATAAAAGGAAAACAGCTGAAAACCAAAGGAATGGAAATACTCAAGACGGTCAACGAAGATCCGCAACCAAACACGGGGCGAAAGAAACTGATTTATTCAAAATAACCACAGAAAGAAAGGAATTACGGCAACGTACGGACGTGACCGAGGCGAGGAAAGTTAGAAGAGACGATGAGATTGAGAGACGTCAAAGGCCGATAAAAAACAGGCAGATCTCATAAAGAGAGTCGACAAACGAAAGAGACGATGGAAAAGAGCGGCAAAAATGGGCCAATGGAGATGGTTTTCCGATCGGGACGCGACCTAAACGCACTCAAACCACCAATGAAGAGGCTTGAGGAGGTTCAAGGTGGACGAATCGAACGAAAAATCCACTTGAGGCATAATAAAACATATAAATAACCACAGGAAATATCACGTCTTTATTTAAACTTCCCCTGTGGTGAAAATACAGTTTTTAATGTTGTTTATGTGTCTATGTGGTGTTTTAATAAGCTTTAAGACAAACCATATGTAAATTCATAAGTCGATACAATACCATTGCTGAGTATTTTCTTCATACAACTGCAGTGAACAAAATACTTTTTTAAACGGTTTGGAATCGCTGGTGTTCCTGACGTCACAAACTACCTTAACCAATCAGATCAACGTACGTGCCGGCGGGCTTCAGCATATCATTAACAGTGAACTAGCAGAGAGATTCCTGGTTATCCCGCTATATTTTTCAGTTGATATGAAAAATCGGGTATAGCGGGTGTATGATGTATGTTATGATGAACTATATGCCTTTCTACAGTGAGTTCTGAGTTGTTCAAAGCGTTTCGGATGATTGTCAGAGATTGTTAAAAGGCAGCTGACTCTGAGATGGACAACAGGAACATCGTTTGTGTAACATTAGCAACACATTATTAGCTGTTTGATAACATAGTCAAGCAAAAGGCTAATCATTAATTACCGTTATGTGTCCGAAGTTGTAAAGAGCGATAACATTGAGCAGCGTTTACCTCAGTGTGTTGGCCGAGTGAATCTGAGCTGACGTGAGTGGAGGCGGGGCTAATTTGCATATTCATGAATCCGCGTATAATAAATTATCTGAAGGTGTCGAGTTACATTCAAGCTATTTAAGGCAAGAAGATTTTGTCTTTTATGGTGATCAAAGATGAGTTTTAAGGGATGAAATTATTTACTACAGGGGGAATTTAAGAATTTGAATACATTAAAGTATAAAATAATATGACATCAGGAGAAATCTGTTTTTTCCAATATAAGAAACTTAAAAAGACAAGCTATAAATACACACAGAAAAACCGGACAAGAGTAAAAGAGCCGACGATCAAACCACCAAAAACTCGTTCAAAACGACAAACAAGTGCGAGAAGGTTTGAATAAAGACAGGAAACATCACGTATTCATTTAAGATTTTTAATATATTAAAGTATAAAATAATATGACACATCAGCAGAAGTCTTTGACAGTACAAATGTCCAATTTACAAAGTTTAAAATGACAAAAATATCGTTTTAAATACACATACAGATCATTCAAGCATAATCATAAAAATATATATAGGTACTTGTTCCAAGGCACATTCATTTAGTGTTATATTCTCACAGTATCATTCCCAGTGCCCAGATTAACAAGAAACCACATCTCAGTTTCACATCTCAGTTATTGCGCATGCAGTGGGACGTTCCTTCCAGGATTGCGACATTGCTACCGACCAAGCGGCGCTCCTCAGTCTGACTTCCTATTGGTCGATCCGTAGCCGTTATACAGCCCGTCGTTGCCGTTGGCCTTCCCATTGGGAGTGCCATTGTGATGCCCAGTGGAGCGGAGATACTCTGTGAAGACTTTCCGATAAACTGGATGCGTCATCAATAAGTCCTGCAGAGAAGCTTTGGGAGATGAATACAAAACCAATTAGCATTCGATATTAGAATACCAACGTTATCATCTTAGCTCAATAAACATTAGGCTGCATTAGACGTATTGGGTTTCATCTGTATTGGGTGCATCTTTCTGCTTACTCGAATTGTTTATGTGTCTATGTGGTGTTTTTAATACGCTTTAATAAGACAAACCATGTGTAAGTTCATAAGTCGACAGCATTGCTGAGTATTTCCTCCTTAAAACTGCAGTGAACCAAAGACAGTCTCAAAAACACGGTTTGAAATCGCTGGTGTTTCTGACGTCACAAACGACCTTGTAACCAATCAGATCAACGTGTGATCGTCAACCAGTGGATCTCTGAGCTGAGGGAGTGAGTGGAGGCGGGGCTCATTTGCATATTCATAGAACCACGCATACTAAATGAGGGAAGGGTGTCGAGTTACATTCAAGATATTTTAAGGAATGAAAAAACATTTAAATATGTAATTTTGGTGATCAAAGATGAGTTTTAAGGGATAAAATTATTGTCAACAGGGGGACTTTAAATCTTACTAAGATGTGATTTTATAGATATGTACATCATAGACCAAGGTGAACACATCTAGACAGGTTGCAAACACAATTGAATAACTTTAAACACAAACGAAACTGCTGCATAGTCTAGACTCTTGGAAGGTTTTACCCTCAGTGGGTCGCCCCCTGGTGGTCAGCGCAGAGAACATCTCTTCTATAGCGTACTGTGGGATTCCCACCAGCGCCCCCATCAGGCCGGACAGATCGCCTGCGCTCAGAAACCCATCCTGGTCCGTGTCGAACCACTGCGAACAGACAACAAATTAGGGTCTAAACTCTTGAGGAATGCATTACATTGAGGAACTTTACCGGCCAAAACTATTTTTTTTACATGATTTAATTGAAAACAGACATTTTGCATGAATATAACCCAAAAATCATATTGAGATCATTGTGCCATATATTGTTTTTAGGGATGCACGATATATCGGCCACCATATCGGTATCGGCCGATATATGTTAATTTTTAATGGTATATCGTTATCGGTCTGAGAAGTAATTTTGCCCGATATATTAAAGCCCATAAATAATGTATTATTTCCTTCAGCTGAGAGTCTTCAGACGCGCACTGTTCAACATGATGGATTTTAATCACTTGAAATATGAAAAAAGGAAAATTAAAAAAAAAATAGAGTAAAGTAGTGCAAGTCTGTCATATCGGCTACATAAAGAGAACATTATAATTGTGGATTTTAATGGTGAGACTTATAATCAGGCTCTCAATTTTTTTTTAAAAATGTGGATTTAGATTTATCGGCCAATATATCGGTTATCGGCTTTCAAATATAAAGAATTATCGGTTATTGGCCAAAACTTCATATCTGTGAATCACTCATTTTATTTTATTAAGTTTTAAATTAAATCTCTTTCCACTGTTGTTTTAATGTAACAATAAAATGGAGCAATTATCAGAGATAACCACAATTTCGATCACATTTTGCCATCTAAATAAGCTAAATTATATTGCAGTTATATTACATTATAAATAACTAAATATATAAATAATGTACATTTTCACAGAATTAAAGTAAATAACACTGGGCCTATTTTTATTATAAATTGTATTATTATATATGGTTTTGTACCGTGACAGGGTTAATTATTATTATTTTTTGGTTTTTATTAGTAAAAAATGTTATGAAACAAATCAATAAAGAAATATATTCTTATTGAAACTGATATTATTGAACTGTAAAAAAAAAAAAATCAAGTTTAATAATAAGTCTTCATCATTTATTTGCTT